ATTATCCAAAGACATACCTGAATTGAATTGGGCAGATTGTTGTGGTGGCTGCATAGGTCTTGAATATAACTCCTCTTCTTGCTGCCAATACCCATCTTGTTGGAATTGTTGAGGTTCTCCCCACATGTAATCTGAATAATCTCTCCAATCCGAATTGTAAGCGTTGGAAAACATGTTGTCCCCTGATTGGCTATGGCCTTGATAACCCCAAGCATCTTCATTCGCAGCGAATTGAGAACATTGATGAGTTTGATATCCTTGCCCATAGGACACACCATCTGTAGGGACACTTTGCATTGTGGTCCTTTCGGCATATTGTGACAATTGAGAAGTAAGTTTCGCCAATTGAGTTTGAATGGTAGCAAAATTCATGTCTTACTTCTCTAGTACTTGAAATCAAGGAAACAAAACTAAATCAAATATCATAAGTAAAAATAAAAGACACAAATAGAAACAAAGTCAGTAACTAAAACAAAAAAAACATGAAAAAGAAACAACAGGGGATTAGCAAAGTTGCTAATCCCTGGCAACGGCGCCAAAATTTGATGCGATGAAAGTTAAGCACTCAAATTAAACCCTCTTTTAACAATTGTAGTATATGTATAAGTAGGGATCGTTCTGGACCGGGGATTAGGAGAGATTGCTAATCTAAACTAAACTGACTTACAAAAAGAAACTTAAAAACACTTAACTAGACTCTATAGACTTAAAACACTTAACACAAACTAAAACAGATTCTAACTAATTAGACACACTAAAGTAAATAGGGATTGGGTTTTGGACGAAAATAAAGTAAAACAAAACAGAAACTAGAACTAAACAGATTTGCACGAAATTGGTTGTTTTGTATGGATGATGGGCTAGCTAGAAGGTCTTTCTCCACACATGACACACTTGCATACAAATCAATCTCCAATTGCTTTTCAATAAACTATGATGCTCAACACCCCAGATTAACCGTGATGCACAAATTAACCCTCATATTTTCCTTTACTCATTGAATTGGATGAATGCATGCGACAACCCAAATCATTCTCTAAAAGTCCCCTATATAAATGCATAATAGAGATACAATTAAAGATCATAAAGTTCCATGAAAATCATAAGCGTTGACGAGGCAATTGTAACTATGAATGCATGATATGTTTGCCAAGAATTCAATTAACGCAATTGTGACAAGCAACCTTCACTACTCATGAATATAAACTTGTAACGATTAGGTGAAACTTATTTATATCCTAGCATCAAATTCATGCATGAAAACTAAGTATGCATCCTTAATAAACATACACAAATCCGTTATGAATAAAATAGATAATTGAATTGCAATCACAACTTATCAAATCACAATTGGAAGAAATCAGTTCATATTGCAAATATATTCATGGTTTCGAATTCTCCTCTAGCCAAAAGAGGTTTAGTTCCTCATATTTGCAATTAAACATAAACAATTGAAATTAAACATTGAAAACCAAAGTAGAATACACCTAGAATGCTCCAGCAATCCAAATTGAATGACTAGCACAACTCCAAGCAATCCTCCTTCCTTGCAAATATGCGGCACCAAGGTGTGAGTGGTGAATGGATGGTCTCTTATGGTGGTGGATGGATATAGGTGAGTTATGGTGAAGGATGGAGAGTTGTGTAGATGATGTGGTGTCTTTGGATGATGGCCCCCAAATTATGGTGAAGGGTGGATGTATTTATAGGCTTGGGAGATGAGTGTATGGAGTTGTAATGAGTGGATGTAATGGGTGTAGTGGGTAGATGTTTGGTAATGAGTGGATGTAATGAGTGTAGTGGATGAGTGTTTGGTAATGAGTGGATGTAATGGGTGTAGTGGGTGAGTGTTGTGGTAATGAGTAGATGTAATGAGTGGATGTAATGGGTGTAGTGGATGAGTGTTTGATAATGAGTGGATGTAATTGGTGTAGTGGGTGAGTGTTGTGGTAATGAGTGGATGGATGTTTGGAGTTGTAGGTCAACACACTTGCACACACACATGTTGATTTCTAGCCTTCAAATCTTCAAAAACGTCCATCCTCATGTCTCCATGCTTGCACTATCTAATCTTGGCTAAAAAATGCTCTAAAATGCTCCAAAATGCACTTTCTTGCCAACTTTGTTATTATGACCTACAAACACATGAAAATAGCTTAAAATACATAATTAACTAAGAAATAACAACACAAATGCACAAGAACAAGCTAACTAAGTCGCATAAATATGTTCCTATCAATAGTCTACGCCCAATCGATTGCTGGCCGTTGACATCTTCATTATGGTTTTTCAAACTACATTATTACACAATCATTCAAGAGCAAAAGACAGATTTTCTAACAAATATGAATGCTTCAAGACGGGCATATCGACATGTCGGTTTCCACAAATGCAACATGAAACTTGACCGGAAGAACCATATTACTATAGTCAAATGCCCCACTAGCTTAGTCATTTTCCTGCTCTCCATTCCCTGCTTCAAGGACTCCAACCTTTTCATGCACACTTACTATTGAGGATAGAGGTCCATACATTTGTTAGACTATATGGTCACATGGATATCTCATCGATGCCAGACCAGCCTTTTGGATCTGCTTCAGAGAAATGTTGTGAAGGTGCTTGGAGGGGATGATGGCGACTTTCTCGAGGATCTTGTTGTTGGTGTGAAGTCAAAGGCCATGCGCCAGTAGCAGCGGTTGATCACCCGACGGGAAAATTTCTTCACTGGTTTTGTTCGGATGCAACCCATGATGGTGGATCCCAAAGGAAACAAGAAACTGGGACAAATTTGGTGGTGGAAACAAGAACTAGGTTTTGATCCTAGAGGAAGATAGGCGGTGGAAATAGGAATTTGGGGTGTTTGGTGGTGGATGGAGAATAGGAATTTGGTTTGGGTTTTTTTATATTTTTATTAATTAAATAGTTAATTAATTTTTAATATTTAATAATTTCTCAATTCAGTTGGATGAGCGAGTGGGTCCGCTGCCTGTAACAGCCAAATTGATAGAAAATTTAACCTAAGACCTCTCATTTACAAGTGAAGCAACCACTAGACCGTAGTACGAAGTGACAACTCTTTTTAATACTAACCTTTTTATTTAAGTAGTACAACATTTATCATCTAATTGTACCATAACTTCTAGATGAAATTGTAGCAATGGTCCTTCAACTTTAATCTAATTGGAGCAATGGTTCCTTAACTTTATTTCCATGACCATTAGTCCCTCAACTTGTCAAAATGTGCAGCTATGGTCATTTTTCTTAACACTGTCAATAAATCCGTTAAATTCAGTCATGTGCATGGCACATGAGATTGACTGTAGGGGCAATTAAGGAAACATATTATTTCCCAGGTTGAAGTCGATACCCATCGCCAAAGATTGGAGTGTCTCAGACAAACGCAAAAAGGGCTTAGAGCCATCTTCTCCTTCTCTTCCTCCTTCTCATCTGCAACTCTCTCTCTCTCTCTCTCTATTTCCTCTAAAACAACATACAACCACCAGCTCTCTCTCTCTCTCTCTTATTTCGCTTTTCGAAAGTTCTGATAGGGACAATGACGGTGGTCTCCGCTGACATCGCGAAGCTAACGAAGCGTGAGGTGCCAACACTCGCATCCCTCTCTCTCTCTCTCTCTCTCCCATATTTCATCTTCTTCTCCATGACTAAATGAATGAATGACATGTTTTCGTTTGCTGCTTTTAGGGTATTTCAGAGGTTTGCATTTTCTCTATTTTGTGTTCACATTTTACTTTTTGTCCTGTTTGGTTCGCCAAAAAATGAAATTCGAAAAATACCCAACATTTCCTTTTCAATTTTCTTCTAATTTAAAAAAAAAATAAAACTAAAGTATTCATGGAATTTGTTGTACTGCTGTTGCAGTTGTGCAATTGGCATGCAGTGCGAATTAGTGTTTGCTTTTCTTAAGCATTTTTTTTTTATTTTCCCAACATTTTCTCGGAAGCCGAACAATGTACTTTGGGAATTGGGAATGGGAGCCCTTTTTTAGTTTGTTTGAGATTGGAATTTGCGTTTGTCGTAGAACATGGAGGTCTTACGAATTGTATTTTGATGACTTAAATTTATGACTGGATTGGTTTGTTTAATGTATTTAATGACTAGACGAGTTTGATTAGAATCTTATTTTCATGATCATGATTAAGAATTTGAATGGATGGTGAATGGGTATCGCCTTCAATCTGGGGACGGGTATCGAGCTTCAACCTGGGAAATAATATGTTTCCTTAATTGCCCCTACAATCAATCTCATGTGCCATGTACATGACTGAATTTAACGAATTTATTGACGATGTTAAGCACTGTTTGAAAAATCCCCGCCTAGGCACTAGGTAGCTGGTCACCATCTCGATTAATGCCTAGGCGTTTGAAAATTAAGAAAGAGCGTCCAGACCTTCTGAGGCGCCAGCTTAGACCGCCTGGGCACCCACCTATCCCACCAAGACCCACCTAGGTTGCGACACACTTAGACAGAAAATAGATAACTTTCATTTTGCGTTTTACCTTTTTCAATAAATTGTAAGCGACTTGTTGAATACTTAAATGAACACACATTATATGCTTGTTTCTTATATTTTTATTATGTTCCAATAGCTCATAATATATATGCTATTATATTTTGTAGTTTATGATGAAATTATATATATTTTAAGTATAAATAGACACTTATATACACAAAATATAATAAATTTAATTAAATCCGCCTAGTCCGTCTAGGCGCCAAGCTCCAGCCCTCCGTTCGATTAGGGCTTAGCGTCTTTTAAAACCTTGGTGTTAAGGAAAATGATCATAGCTGCACATTTTGACAAGTTGAGGAACCAATGGTAATAAAAATAAAATTGAGAGATCATTGCTCCAATTAAATTAAAGTTGAGAGACAATTATTATAAATTTCTCTAACTTCTACTATCTCTTTAATAGAGATAAAACCTACCAACATTTGTGGGTCCACCTCTGATAGAGAGTTGACAAATAGCATTCCTTTTTTGCCCCAGACTCCCGCAGCCTCCTCCTTTTCATCTCTATCTTCTCCGTCGGCCCCTAAATATTTCTATCAAATTTCGATCCGTTCGAGTCGCTTCACTCTCCTTCCGTCGTTTTTCACTCTCGATCCACCCCTGCATTACTTTTCCGGCCGTTTTGCAGGTACGGTTTAGATTTCTTGAAGTTTTCCGTTTTCCTTTGGTTTAAATTTTGGCGAGAAACATGAAATATTTCTGAAATCTTGTAATTATGAGCATTCACTGTCGATTTGATGTCTGTGCTATAGAAGATTGTAGTAATTCTTCTGGGTTTTTATAATTTGCCTAAATTAATCGTTTTTTCCGAATGAATTTTGTAATTTTTGTTAGTATAGTTGCACTGTCTCTTTGTATAGGAAAGCATCATTTGCGATTCGAATCCCGGTTACGGTAAGAGAAGTCAGAATCCAATCTTTCATAGGTGTGGCTTGATGCCTTTTTCAATGGATTGGTTTGACATGAATATTTACGGATGGATATTTGCTCTTGAAGTGTTTCTTAAAATGCGAAATGCGCCATTTTAAGGATGGATTGCAGCATTGTTCTTCGGTTTTTTTATCGTTGTCAAATGGATTTGAATGTTTTTTTCCTGGGAAATGAATATCATTTGAGCTCCTTTTTCATCTGTTCCATAAAACATATCATCCAAATAACTACATAAACTTGAATCGGATTCTGGAGTAATGCTGAGAAATACGATACAGAAGTAATAACCATTTTAGTTAACTTGTGTGCTAGTTAGACTGTAGAGTTTAGGGTTAAGCGTGTATTACCCGCATGATAGCATTAATCATAAGACTGTTCACATCATTATCAGTCCAGTTAAGCTGCGCGTGATTGTTTCATGATGATTTATTTCGATCTTCTAGTTGTTTCATTTATTTCAATCTTCTTTATTCTTTATTATTACATGTAAATGGTTCCATGGAAATAAACAGAATGGAGTCAGATGATGTATTTCAATCTTCTTAAATCTTACGTTTGTTTTTATTCTTCTCATTTCATGCAATTGTTTTCAAAATTAGAGCATTGTTTGCTGATATGTTCTATGTTGAACTATTGTTCCTGAGTTATGTTGGGGGTAATTGTTACAGTTCTACTTGGGGCATCTTATGTAATAAAGTCCAGGTCATTTGTTGTCGTAACTCATTTGAAATGATTGTATGGTAGACAAGTATTGTTGCCACGATTGCTGGTCTATAAGTTCAGGTTGTTAGTCAGCTGAATCATTTTTTAGTTAAAAATCCAACATTAGAAGAAGCTAACTGCTGCTATTCAGCCCGAGCTTTGTTTGTTGATTAACTCCAATTAAGCCCATTCTTTCCAAATTTGGTGAACTGCCCCTACTCCCTTTTTTTCAATGTGACTATGGAAGGATTAGCGTATGGTCTAATGGGGTAGTTTGGGTATATATAGAAATTAAGGCCCTGTGCCTCCCCTATCTGGTTTGTGGTGCTTATGCACGGTGTTGATATTTTGAGTTGTGATTTTGTTGGAACCTCTACAATATAGAACAATATGATTTTTCCGCCTGTGGAGAAATGTAGTTTTCGGAAGTTACTTTCATAGAATGACCTTTTAATAATGTCTATAATACAGAATGTCAGAAACACCCTTCCGACCACGTGAGCAGCTCTATGAGAAGCAAAAGATTTTCCAAAGCATCCACAAACACACATACCTGAAGGGACCATATGATAAGATTACGTCTGTTGCCATTCCAGCTGCTTTAGCTGCTACTTCATTGTTCCTTATTGTGAGTTTCTAATTACTTCATTTCTTTTAAGACTTTGTAAGTCTTTTATATGAAAAAAAGCATAGTTTTCCTTGCTTTTGTTGCAATCTAATTGTAAGGTCTGGTGGCATTTTCTCCAGGGACGAGGGATCTACAACATGTCACATGGGATTGGAAAGAAGGAATGACGCAGCATAGGAATGACCGTTGGCTGGCAGACAAAGTCTGAAGATTTATGTGCTCCCAGTCTCTGGTAGTGTTGAATTTTTTCTGTTTGCGGCCTCTAATAATTGCTTAGTAGCAGATTCTGTACTTCCATTGAAAGGGGGAGATTTTACTTTTGAAATTTCTGCTAATGGGGTTTCCTGTTTGATAAAAATTGCACTCGTTTAATATACTTAAGACTTCAGTCATTTGTATTAGACGTCTTTCTCTCAACTGTTGCGTCGTTTGGTATGCATTTTCTATGCTTAGAAATGTGTATCAACTTGGTTTTTACTCCGGTGATTTCGCTTGGTATGCTTTGCTTGAATTGAGTGGCAATTTTTTCGTAGTTGTGTCACATTCTCAGCTTATTTTTTCATATGCTTGACCGATATGTAGAATATTTCCGGTGAATCTAACAGCTGGTTCAGCATCTTCGTCATATTATATTCTACCCCTTCACTAGCAGAAGCAAAATCTTGTTAAGAAACTGCTGCGAGCGAGAGATTCTCTTATCCAAAGTTGTAGTCCCGTTGGCATCTTGCTACATGTTCAAAAAGGTGTATAATCTATCCAATGAATGATCGACACGGGATGAGTTGGTGACATGAGAGAATCTCTTGTCCCTAACTTCAAATTGTCAGGCCATTCCGGCTTATCGCTCCACATATCTCGATACCCACTCTGAAAACTGCGCCTTTTTGTGTTTCTACTCAAATAATTCCTAATTCTTACGCATGCCACGCAAGTGTTATTTGAAGCATCGCTACCTAATCAAATGACTACGAAAGTAGAAACTAAAACTCAAGTACTAGGGTTTAAAATAATCTCAGGTTGCTAAAACTGCAAAGGTGTTTATGAAAGATTTACAAAGTTCCATGCATCCCACTTTTTAACCAAGGTTTTTGTTATACTTTTACGCTGTGGAAAAAACTGACACTTTCTCAATGGTGGTTGGAGAGGCGAAGGGACTTTAAGGTCTCTTTTAGTGCATAGGATTGAATTGGATTTAATATAAATGGATGGCTCCCGAATTTGTCTAAGTTGAAAGGTAGGTCGGAGTTGAACTAATCACGAATGAAACTTATTCCGAATGTGTCATCACTAAGACCGACGGACCTGATGCCGACACGGCCTACTACAAATGTGGTGAAAGTTGCACCTGCGTCATGTATGCGAGAACTTGGTGCCAGAAAATTTGCCTCCTTCAATCTCCACGGAACAGTACTTTCATGTGTTATAATTTGAGTTGAATAGTAACGTTACGTGATCATGATCTAGATACACCTAAAAATTACTCCTTTTTTTGGAGCTTAAAAGTACTCCTTAAGTGGTGGCGATGCTCTTGCCATCCCTTAATTGTGGTGCTCGTATTATACCTTGTTCCTAAATGCCATGCATTAACTGTATCGTTTCGGAGGCATAACTTGTTGGACTATTGTTTGGTTGGTTGGCATAGAATACATGTTCCTAGAATTTGTGTTTGCTTGACATGGTCTCGTGATACCCTGACACCAGGACCGGCCTTGAGAATTTGGGGGGCTTTAGGTGAGCCTTTGAAGTGGGGCTCTAAAGTTGTCTGACCCTCCTTTGCACATTCATATGTGTAAAAAAAATCACTAAATACATTAAAAAGTCTATTTCTTCATTAAATATCATTAAAGTTAGTATCAAAAGAAGAAAGATATACAAATATTAGTTAAATATTATAATTTTTGTGTTTTCATATGCAAATGTACTAATTAAGTTTACAAAGAGTTTAACAATGAAAAGCTAAGAAGTGCTAACAATGAGCTGACAAACATGTGATAATATATGGTTTGAATTAAAAGAAATATTAACACTTGTTTGATAATCATATCATTTTTTTTCTATGTTCTCTACTTCAAACAGGGAGTATATTTCCAAGCCACCATAATAAAAAATCTCTAAGCATCAAATAGACTATGGAAACTCATGTCTCAGGCTCTCAGCATATTGCGCATGTATGCATGAAGCATGCATATACGTGATTGCTTACAACAAGAATCTCATTTTTTAGGATTATCTGTAGCCTATCTGTATCGAAATTTGTCGAGGGCGCCGTCTTAATTTTACCTGCGAACCAGCAGATCAAGTAATGCGATTATAGTCGACGTTTTAATTCAAGTTGCAACAGTAATACTGTAACCTTATTTCAAATTAATCTGTAAGGTGTTTTAGTGCGTCAAGGTAACCAGCATTTGCCTAATCAACTGCATTGTCCCTATCAATTCAACCCCAGCCACGAGAGATTTTTCAGTGTGACCGTCACACGGGATGGTACACCACGTGTCGCTCTATAAATGGTGGGATATGTGTGTTAAAAAGTTAGTAATTTAAAAAATAAAAGTTCTCACCACATATATAAAAACACGCGATGTACCACCCGTGTTTCCGTCACAATTAAAAATTTCTCCCCAGCCACTGCTCGTCTGCCGCATCCCATTAACAACCCGACATATGTCTAACGAATCCTTACCATTCTTAACCACAGTCTGTCGGTTATCTTCAGTTATCGCACCCTGAATTGGCCTTCAAATGAAACTTTGAATTCTTGTTTGTTCTTCTTCCTTTCTTGATCGAACTAAACGCAAATTTTCTATGAGAATTATGGTGCAACAACTCTGCAATTGCAATGGGACAGCCTATGTACGCAAGTAAATCAGAATCAGGGATGGGCAAATACCCATCGGTTGTGGATAACCGCAGTTACCCGCCCATTTAAATTTTACGGTTACGGTTATGGGTAACCGTTTAGATAATAAACGATTACGGGTATAACCGTCTACCCGTGAAATTTAAATGGACGGTTATGAGTATTAACTGCGGTTATAAACGGGTAGTCATTTACCCATTTATTTTATATATGTAAAATTAATACAAACCATGTTCCGTATCGGACAAAACTTAGATCAATGCTATTGACTATAATACATGATTTCTATAGCTAATATAATATAGTTTTCCTTAACCACTTTAAATTTCATGGTCCATTATATATATTATGTTAATATTTTACATTTCGAGTCAAATAACCCAAGAATATTGTCTTTTAACAGTTTTCGTAACCCAAGAATACTTAGCAAATTTTATATTACCTGCATTGCAAACAGTTAAAAATATCGTCTGTAAACTATTATTTCAATTATTGGAATGATATAATGACTTAAAAAATTAAAATCTGGAAATGTATGATAAATATACTTATAATTGTGTTTAATTGTTAGAAAAACAAAATTACGACAATTTTTTTTTTAATTTTCAAGTTGTTAAAAAAACACGTAGACGGGTGAAAAAGGAGTAAATGGTAAAAAGAAAGGATAAACGGGTTTAAAAGTGATAAATGGGTAAACGGGTACTAAACGGTTACGGTTAAATGGGTATACGATTATGAGTATAGTTAACTGTTTATAAACGGTTATGGGGATAGATATAACCATTTAGATAATTACCCAACGAGCAAACGGTTATGCGGGTATGAGAATAAACGGTTATGGATAAATAACTACGGTTACCCGTCGGCCATAACCGTTGCCCATCCGTAATCGGAACCAACCCGGTTTCTCTTCTTCTACATCAACTTTACACGCTCCAAAGATTATCTTATCAGTAGCTCTACACATAGGGCTGGTTTGGTATTGCTGTGCTTTGAAAAAAAGCTGCTGTGAGAATAAGCGGCTGTGCTGTGAGAATAAGCGGCTGTGAAAAAAATCAGCAGAGTGTTTGGTAAACTTTTTTGTAAAAGTGTTTTGAAAAAAAAAGCAGTCTGATAGTGGGTCTTTTCATTAAAAGAGCACTGTAGCTCGGTATGCTTTGAAAAAAAACCAGTTTTCCAAAGCTACAAATAGCAGCTTCAGCTTTTTCCTTTGATTTCAGCTTATTCTCACAGCAGCTTCCAAAATAAGCCCTTTTTTTCAGTTTACCAAACACCTAAAACCCTCACAGATTTTTTTCATGAGTGCTTTTTATTTAAGCACCTCACTCCCAAACCACCCCATAAGCCCCTCTCTTGTGGCACATTTTCACATATTTAAAATTAGAATACAACAAAGTCACGTATTATCTAAGAGTACTTGTAGATGAATTACTACTATATTTCCAAGTCAATTAATGAATAATTTCTGCGTAAGAACATGCACATCATTAGTGTAAATTGGTGGTTTGACTTTATTTGACTCATAGTGGTCGGCCATGTCGAAGGTGGAGAGGCCAGCATTGGCGTAACGTAGCATGGCCTCGACGGCGTCGTCTCAGTCGATTCTTCTTAAGCCATCGATGGTCTGCCACTTTCTGTTCAGGAATCAGCATATGTCCATGAATCGTTCTCACCATGACTCTATGGGTCTCATTGGTGACCCAAATATTTGCTCGACAAATATGCTCTTGTCCTTTGAAATTATTTTGTCGCGCAAAACCTTTGGCAAAACCCTAAGTATTGACTAGCTTTGCATGACCAACTGGAATTTTAGTCAGGGAAAATTACTTGACCTGACAAAATATGGCTTAATTTGGGGCACCAAACTATCTCCATGTGACTCAATTAAGACGTTCAATCACCAACGGTTTGGATATTTAATGGCTCAATATTTTTTGACTTATAAATATTTTAAAAAATCCAACAATTTTCTTCAGTCCCACACCAAAAATCAACACACTTACCATTTGAGATTGTTTAGTTTAAAAAAAAAAAAATTTGTAAATAGTAATAGCTATGACAATAACAAAACAGGTAGAATTGTTAAATGACAATTACTTTTAAGACTGAATAGCAATTGCCATAGTAAAAAGGCCGAAGTTGCTATTACTTTAAAAAGAAACTTTAATACACATGGAATATTGAAAAAAAAGAAAAGCAAAACACATGGCATGATTTGTATTTGTATGTCCAAAGTGCGACTGTTGGTGGGCAGAGTGTAGAGAGTCCAACCGTCCAAGTCTCCTTCAGGGCCCGTGACCAAGGGAAAGTAACGCGACTCTGAGAGAGAGAGGGGGGGGGGTTGGGTGGGCAGGGAGAAGTCTCTCATTTTTCCTTCTTGTTCCTCTTATTTAAGCGGTTATTGATATTTTTAGAAAGAGAAAGACAAAAAAAAAAATCGTGAGAGAGGAGAAGGGGGCTTCCAACTGCCAACTTGGTATGTTTTGTTTCCCCTCCTATTCCTTCCCTCCCTCCCATTGGTCAGATTTATCCTCCACTGACTTATCGTCGACTGCACACGACCGCACCCTCTCCCTCCTCCTCCTTCACCTTCAGTTTCAAGCAAGTAGGTGAAAAGCAAACCCCCCCCTCTCATTACTAATTAGTACCCCCATTAAAATACTACCACACCCACTGCTCCTCTCTACCTAATCCATTTACTATCATTTTCAATTTTATAAATAAACAGCATTAACGAATTAAGTTGTTTACATTAAACAAAAAGAAAATCGGTAAGATTAAACTTGCGCTATGCATAGACATTATTGTTTTCCGCCGGTAAAACGTCGTCTGTATTGATTATTATTGAAGTATTAACAACCAAAAAAAGGGAGCAAAGCGATTCCTGCTCCTAGGACTTGGCAAGTATAACAAAAATAGAGATACTTAAGTCATCTTTTTGGTTGCTTCCCCTGTCGTCCTCCTCCTTGTTTTACATCTTAGCCAGGCACTCAGGCAGCGCAGCAACTCTGGTCGTTGCTCCTCCTTCCGAACTCCAACCATCTCTCTCGCTCTCCCTCTAAATCTTAAACCCTAGAAAAAGCCTCTCGCTCTCTCTCTGTGCAAAGTTGTCAATGCTCTAGAGAGAGAGAGAGAGAGAGAGAAAAGGGCTTTTGGTTTCAGATCGCGGATATCTCAGCTCAGCTCAGCTCGCCGATCTACGCCGTCTCGGCCGAGTTCGCTCAATGGGCGGCTCGGACGATTGAAATGCTGGCTGCTGCCGCTCTCCGCGATTTCGATGTTAATCGCACAAAATGTCCGCTTCTTTAGCTGCTTTTGAGCGCCCCCTACGGCCTGCTGCCTCTAACACGGTACTTTTTCTTCCGTATTCTGGAAAATTACTAGAACTCGATTGGTTTTTTTTCATTTATTTTATTTTATTTTTTGAATATTTGTTTGAATTCCTTTAGCTGCTTTTGTGGGAAGCCACCAAAGCTGATGTTGGTGAAATGCGGTTTTTTTTATTTTTAATATTTTGGATTTCCTTACATCATGGTGGAATGTCCGTTGCAGATGTTGTGAAAATTCGATTGTATTAGATTGATTTTGTATCCATTTTCTGTTCTGATTGCTGGAGTATAGTGTAGAATGGAAAACAGAAGGAAAAATAGACTCAAAGCAATGGGAACACTTGTTGGTGTGGCAATGCACTTGTCGAAATTATTGAACTTGTGCTTAGGCCGAGTTTAATCTGCTGTTTTATTTTCAAGTAATGTTGATACGGATTTGGAATGTTTTGATTTATGATATGGAACACGAACTTCATTAAGACAAGACCGATGCAAAACAAGATAGGCAAGTTTAGGATGAAACTGCAATGCGTTTCCTTTTACCCGAACGAACCCAAACATGCCCAAGTTTGAGGGAATTGACGGAAACTTTGCTATTTTAAAGAGAAGTCAAATGTTTTTATCAATCCTTGATTTTTCAAATGAGTTCTTAATTCTCAGAATTGCAGTCTGTTGGTTATCAATGTAACCTGATCGTGTTTCAAGTGTTCCTTTTCATCCCTTGTGCTTAATTTGCAAATTAGTTTTACATTGTGCTCTGCGGGTGGGTAATATTTTCATTTCTTCTAACACATCAGATGATCCAGCAGGTCTTCAAGAGTGGTCCACTTTTCATTTCTTCTAAAGGTTGGTAAACATCTCTTGTTCTCATGTTCCTTACCCCGCTCCCCTTAAGCAACTTTGGCTGCATTTCCAGCATGTTTATGTATTTGTTATAGGACTCATTTGACTTTGACGTGATTACATTAGTCTTGGAAGGAAAAAAACACTGTGACTATGAAATTAGATAATTTACCTTTATAATGGTATCTGTACTTGGAAAAAAAATCTTTATAATCAGCATATCAATTCGTTGAATACATTAATTGCTTTGATCATTGACCTAATGTTTATCTGTTAGGTCTATGGAGTGTAGTACGAGGAACTAAGTTCCTTGGAAGTCTCATAAGATTGAGTCATCCTCTATTTAGACTTAATAGAAGATTAATGAGGGAGATAACAATAATACAACAGAAATGAAAGGAGAGAAATGGATTTAAATCTACCACTCGGAAAATAACACTCCTAAAAGAAACACCCAAGGCACATATTTAGCAAACAAAACATTTTAGATTCACGGATATTGATATCACATTCATTTATCTGATTTATGGATTGATAAGTTGCTTTGACCTTAGCCGATATCCGTGCACTGTCTTATGTAATTCAAATAAACCACATGACAGGCATTAGAATATTTTTCTAAAATCTGTTTGTTGACTTTACTGTTTCAAGAGAAATAACTGCTTTTGCTTGGTCTAATTAGTAATTATGAACAACTTTTAATATATTATAAGTATTTAAAATATAGGACGAGGAGTTTTTCCAATGAGTGTTTATTTAATTTTTATAATGAAAACCTTCCAAACCAGTTTATGTTGCATCCTATATGTTAGAGGTCTTGGGGACAACTGAAGATTTTGCTTCTTTCCTCTCATCAATTTATATGTTAAGAGTAACTTGGTTTTCGTGTTTGATTTTGTCAACGGGTATTTGAACTTTTAAACTTTTTTTTTCTATTACGCATTTCATAGTTTGTTGAATCACCTCTTCTTCTCTCATTATTTATATATTCAGTTTTTATTTATTGACTTTGCAGGAATAGGCTGGAAGTCCTGGAAGAAGCGGTGGTTTATCCTCACACGGACTTCTTTGGTTTTCTTTAAAAATGATCCTGTTAGTATTAATCAGTCATCTATTTACCTCTTTTTTGGTTATACCAATATGTTCAGGCTTCCTTTTGCTTTCCTTTTCCTTTTCCATAATTTTCCACATTAGTCTGCATGATTCAATGTAGTTAATGGAAAAATTGGTTGGTCACCGAATTGATGTGTGAGTTGTATTGGTTCTATAAATGGTGGACTTGGTACATTCAGTTTTGATGGTCTATTTGTTGGAATAAAAGGTTCACGCCTTAGTATGTTTGAAAGATATTACTATTCTACCATGTGAAGAGATATTGAAACTTCTTCTATTGCCTCATAAAATGGGATGAATCCCTGTTCAGACCTTCATCTGTGATCTCGGTGATATGTGAAATTATTGTTGTGGAATTGCATATGTTCTCTTCCTTTAGTGTTCTTGTGTTCTCTATAGGTTATTGAGGAAACCCACTAAAATGCATGGTATCCCATTTCCACCATTCCTTATTAAAATGTCACATTCTCGTTGAATAACCGATTGGAGTACAATTTCAATGTAGTCTGTATTTCAAGTGTTTGCTGGTTGGTTATGTGCTGGATTTTCCATAATAACCTGCTAAACTGAGGTAGGACCTTATTGATTTTTGTGCGTGCGTGCGTGTGTGTGTGTGTCTCTCTCTCTCTCACTCGCTCGCTCACTCACTCACTCACTCGTACGCACAGACATGCCCGACAGTCAACAACTGCAAAGTGAATGTTGTGTTTTTTTTTTAATTTTTTTTAGGAATGAATGTTGTTTTACATCTTTGTACAGAGCGCACTTCCACAAAGAGGCGGTGAAGTCAATTTGACTTTGGGAGGCATTGACTTGAACAATTCTGGGAGGTATGCATGGCAACAATGACCGTTTGTTTTATTATTATCTGCAGTCTGACTAATACATGCAACTGGTTTCATGCAGTGTTGTTGTTAGAGAAGATAAAAAGCTTCTGACAGTTTTATTTCCTGATGGACGTGATGGGCGGGCCTTCACTCTTAAGGTGGCATTTTTGTGATATTTTTTTTCGAGAATTATTCGAATATGTAGTATACTTACATGGTTTCTGCTGATATGATATAATAATTATATGAGTTTTCAAAATCACAGGCTGAGACGTCGGAAGACTTGTATGAGTGGAAGACAGCCCTTGAACATGCCCTTGCACAAGCTCCAAGTGCTGCCCTTGTAATGGGACACAATGGGATTTTCCGTAATGACACGAATGATACACTTGAAGGGTCCTTCCATCAATGTTTGTATTTTTTCATCATTACACATTCAATGTCTCATGATTTCATCTATCTTGAGCTGGCATAGTTATATATAATTTTGGGCTTTCAGGGAGAGATAAAAGGCCTGTTAAATCTTTGGTTGTTGGAAGACCTATTCTGCTTGCGCTAGAAGATATTGATGGAGGTCCTTCCTTCCTGGAGAAAGCTCTTCGGTTCCTGGAAAAGTTTGGTAAGTTGTGATCCATTTAATATTAACAAGATCTCAAACTGAAGGGAAAATTCCTTATTATGTGTATGTAATATCAAAGAGGTCGCACTTGGTGCGATGGCAAGTGCCTTCGCCCATGAGCGGTAGGTCTCGGGTTCGAGACTTGGGAGCAGCCTCTCCATAAAATGGGGGTAAGGCTAGCCGACATTCACCTCTCCCAGACCCTGCGTAAAGTGGGAGCCTTGTGCACTGGGTACGACCTTTTTATGTGTATGTAATATCACTATATACAACATAGTAATTTCTGAAGGTTTTAATGTTACCCTAGAACCCTTACTTATTCCAGACAAACTTACGGAATAACCTTTGTTTACCCATCATGTTTGTCTCGTGCATCTATCTGTATCCAATGTCAGATTTTCCAAAAAGTCAACTAAATACAAATTTTGAGATCGGATCACAGGTTTTATGTTCGAACCGTGATCCGGTTTGCACAATCCAAAATGCGGTGGGTTTGCAATCTTTGCTGAAATGGGCGATCCTTTCTCCTTCTTCAGTTTTAATTTTTCATCTCCTTTAGGCAAAAGATTATTTAGCATTTTGAAGTTGTAGGAATTCTGAAATCTTGAAGAAGACAGAGGAACAGTATTGTGGAATCCTCTCCTCTCCTCTTTTTTTTGTTCTTTATTACTTTTACCAATGCCAAGAAATAATATGAAAAAAGCTTAGAGAAAATAATGTATTAAATCTTAACTACCAAAAGTGGCTTCAGCTTGGCAAAGTAATGTATAATGTTTATAATTAGTATAATATTGGTTTACATGAGTGAAAAATATGCAAACTATTTACCATAAGGAAAAGAATCCAGATAAAACTTTAAAACGAACCCATAAAACTGTACCGAGTATACCCCCTAGTGTACCCCATTCCCATAAACTACCGTACCTTGTACCCTTTCCCGTTTTACTTACTGAATTGACCCACGCCCCATGCAACATTGAGGTGGACATATATGTTGGTGTTTTTATCATGTGCGGATTTTTGGGAATTGATGCATTTGACACCCTTCATCTCTGTCAGCTCATTACACTCATATCGGAGTATGCAAAGCATAGAATTGTGTCTTATTTCACATATTGGCTATGCAGAAGGCAAGATACTCCTTTGCATACCAGTGTGGAGATATCATCTGTACAAACTGTTAATCCTAATTGCCTATGAAACTATCTGGAAGCACCAGTCTGGGAATTGACTCATTAAGTCATTATACTGGGAGAGATACCTGAAGAAAAATAATGTTAAAAAATATATATTTTTGAGGGTTATACTAAACAGTTTTATAATTTGTAATTTATTTGTCCCATAGGTACTAAAGTTGAAGGAATATTGAGACAGTCTGCGGATGTTGAGGAGGTAGAACGTAGAGTACAAGAATATGAGCAAGGTATCCATTTTATTCAAGTTGAAAGTAAACGTCTGGTGGATTCTGAAAACATAAGAGATTCTCTTGCGTCTCAGTTGGATTTTTTCACTTATTTTTAGCTCATGCCCTCAATTTTCTTGGAAGCATGCATTGATTTCCAGCTTAGTCCTAATTGTTTGTGATGTTTGAAGGCAAGACTGAATTTAATCCGGATGAGGATGCTCATGTTGTTGGCGATTGTGTCAAGGTACTTTCCAAAATTTGTTTGATGTCATTCGTATTCGGTATGAATTATGCTTTACTTCAATATTTAGTCAAGTTGTTTGATCTGCAGCATGTTCTGAGAGAGCTGCCCTCATCTCCAGTACCAGCTTCTTGCTGCACAGCATTGCTAGAGGCTTATAGTAAGTTTAGCTGTATGTTATGCCTTGTGAATTTGTAAATCAGTTAGTGGGTTCTTTGTTATGTGGGGAATTAAGTAACAGGAATAATTTGTGAGACTGTTAAACTACATATGTGAAGTCGTATTGCATAGAAAAGGTTGGCCGTTAGTCTCATGTGTAGTTATCCTTCTGGACATATTAAATGATACTTTTATGCACAATTCAGATATTGTACCAAGTCTCCATATCAATGTTTCTGTTGTCTGATATTTTCCTCAAGTTTCTGAATCATTTGTACAAATGATCACATATATTTTAGTAATGGAATAAAGTTTTTTTACTGTTTGCTCTGTGTTCTCTTTGACCAGAAATTGATCGAAAGGAAGCTCGGGTTAGTGCAATGCGCTCTTCAATATTGGAGACATTTCCCGAGCCAAATCGCCGTTTATTACAGAGGTAACCTGTTCTCTTACATGATGTGAGATGTCTTCCGTTGGTAAACCTTAAATGGCTTGTCAGCGATGGCCTACTCATAATGTTTGATATGCCTAATTCTGCTCTCTTACATGAGGTAACCTGTTGCCTTACATGATGTGTGATGTCTTCTTCCTTCTGCCTTCTGAGTCCTAGTCATAATGTTTGAGATGCCTAATTCTGTAGTGCACTTGTACTTAATGTGCAAGTTTTATGGGAACTAGATTTTCATATGTTGGCTAGGAAGGCATGCATGGTAGTTTGAAAGGTGATGTACCAAACAATATATAAGCAAGGATGAAGATGTCAGGATTGGTTGAAATATTGGTATTGAGGATTCAAGGATATATTCATGAAATATGGTTAAATATTATGAATACAACGGATGCTTGTTTTAGAAGTTGGAAATTTTGTCAGAAACTTAAGGAAATGTTAATGTAATTAATAGAACGTCAGTTAGACGTGTAAATTTCATATTAGATTGTTGATAAATAATGTGAAATGTAAAATCAAAAGCTCTCTCACTCTGATGCATGAGATTACTTAGAAGCATGCAGGTACTAAAATTTTTGCAAGAACCTGTTTTGAATGTTAAGTTGCTTTAGGAAACAAAATTTTATCCACTCTTGAGGATATCATATGGTAGGGACCACTACTACATATTGATCTTTCTCGTGGATATGCATTCTGTTCAAAATTATGCTAAACAATCATATTGGTCTATAACTTGCTTTTCTCCTTTTTCTTTTTGCAGAATTTTGAAGATGATGCATGTCATATCTTCTCACTCTGATGAGAATCGGATGACTCCATCTGCAGTTGCTGCATGCATGGCACCCTTGCTCTTACGCCCTCTATTAGCTGGTGAATGTGAGCTGGATGATGACTTTGATCTTAATGGTGATAATTCTGCCCAGCTTATTGCTGCTGCAAATGCTGCAAATAATGCTCAAGCAATCATCACAACTCTTTTGGAGGAGTATGAAAACGTTTTTGATGTAAGACTGGTTAAGGATAGTTGCTTTATTACATTCTGTGTTCTTGCTATTTCTTAAGGTGGATCCTGGATTTATAATTCTCATTCTTTCGAAGTGCACAACTTCATTTACTCCAGTCAACTATAATATTCGTTGAAACATGTGAGGATCCCTACTGTCCTTTTAACATCCCCTTTTGTCGTGATTGGGGGTACCATGAGCTTAGTGAAGATTGGTTGAACTAATATTTATTTATTTTTATGAGAAGAAACGAAAGAATTTTATAAAAAAGAGAGAATTTACATAAGTGGAAAAGAGTTCCACCTAGAACCGGGAGTAAGTAGCAAGGACCTTTAATGTAATACTAATTAAACAATGGTAAGGCTAAACCGTATCATTTTAACGGCTGCTAATGAATCCCTTAGTATAGATTAGTTGAACTAATGAAGCTACTGGTACCAGTCATAGGTGCATGGTCATAACAACCCAGACTTAGTTCCTCAGAGATATATCTTGAATATGTTGATATGATGATTGTAGGAAGTTTGTGAGGTGTTAGGTTGATACTCATTTTGGATGTTAGATTCATTTATCTCTCAAAAGATAAAATAGCATAGCACCCACTAATCCCCGGAGCACTATAGAAACTTCAGCTCTTCAGTGGTGGTTTAGGCTGGGGTGGGGGTGGTGTAGAGTGACTAGGAGCACGAAAGATTTGATGTTAAACCTCCTTTGGGATACCAGACTGGACATGCTAATATTTTGGATGGGACCTAATGAGATGGTTAATACATTGTGGCTTATCTTTGCTTGATCTAGGCCAAGATCCAGTCTTTGTGAGTAATGGATTACCAGCTTATTGACATGTTAGTACTAGTACTATATCATAGGTAAGGTCCCGATATGTTGCGTCCATGACATGGTGAGAGTGCCTGCTTGAGATGGCATCCAACTCCTAAGTGTCTTTGTGGATGATAGAAAAAATTGGATGCAGTTCTAGTCGTTGAAGAATTGGTTGAGGTGTATTGGCTGAAGAAGAAGGAAGGTGTTGTCGTAAATTTGCCTTCCTTCTTTTCTAATGTTATGTGTCTAGTCAGAGATAAATGCTTATCCGACATTCTGTCAACTTTTCCAACCCTGATAACTTCCTGCGCAGACGATGTGTTCTATCAAATGATAGGGCTATGGGGTTTCAACTACAAATCTTGCATTTCACAGTATATGATAGGAGATTTCATTTTTGGGATTAGTGGGTGCTATGCTATTTTATCTTTTGAGAGAGATGTCAATATCTATTTCTGTAGGAACCTTTTATATCACTCACTCTGTAATACACTCAAATAATTTACTTCATTTTACTTTAATTGTTTGAACATTTTGTTTTCCTGGATGCTATCTTTCTTTGAGCGGCATAAATGATATATTGTTTAAACACAAATTGAGATAAAAAAACATTACTTTTGCTGACACTGATTCTTATGGTCTTCCATTACATGCTATTACAAAGACTCTAAATCTTAAGTTCATGTTAGATTTTTCAATTATGCAAAGTGGTCTTCACTTGTTAGGCTCTTTTTTCAGGATGAAAATCTTCTAAGGTGTTCGATCTCTGCTGATTCTCGAATTGAGAATAGTGGAAGTGAAGATTCATCTGATGATGAAAATCTTGATCTGAAAGACAACGGTTACCATGATGCAGAGAATGAAGTTGATCCGGAAACAGATGATGACCCGGATCGAGTTCATAGTGGAAAGTTGAGTGAAAGCAGTGGTTATGCTGGCAGTGACCTCTATGATTATAAGGTTCTCTCCCTCTGCTCTCCCTCACACCCGCTCACTCCACTGTGCTTGTGTTATGCTCTGATTTATGTATGGTTTTAAGATTTTTTTTAAGTGTTAATGGTGGGATTAGAGTCTTTTTCTCTTGTGTGACTGCGACATTAATAGGTTATGCCTTCCTATGCTGTTGATTGCGTTGACTTTCACATCATTGACGCCAGAAATGGCTATGGGGTCCTCTGTGAGTTATATGATGTAGTAAAATTATATTTCATTAGTTTGATACAAACACCGGGAAGATGTTTGTAACATTATGCTGGTGGTTCTAGGTGGAACTGTTTTCCACTCATGTAATTCTCTCTTTTATATAAAATTCTTTCATTTCTTCTCGCAAAAAAAAAAAAAAAAAACATTATGCTGGTCATCCGACCAGATACTGCTAAAAGATCCGTCACTTTTACCTCTTTGGTTTATTTTTTTCTTTTCATAACCTTGGTCTTTGTATAGCTCTGGGTCTTTAGAAATCTAAGGGACGTACTGAGTCTATTAACTTATATGCAAATTACTTATTATGCCTTTTTGATTTGATTTTCTTATCTGTTGAAATATTCAACTGCCAGACTTATAATATTTCTGATTGACATGTAAGTTGGTGTCATACAGGCATTTGGGGTTGATGATTCAGATGTTGGATCACCTAAAGGAAATCATGCGTCAGCTGAGAGTTCAAGTTCACATGTTCCTCAAACCATCAGAGATCCAAATGTTGAAGTTGTGGAAAGAGGAAGCAAACCAATTACAGAAAATGAAATTTAATTAGTGAGACAGAAACACCAAGTGCATCACCTGCCGGAGATTCTTACAGATCAATGGGAGAGATTCTGTCAGCAATGGATCCAGGGCATCCTTTACCAGTGTCTGGACTTGAATCAGGAACTGTGAAGAAAGTGGCCAAAGTTACAGGCTCCAATCATAACGCAAAGCGATCGGCATTTTGGGGAAGAAACAATGTGAGTTGTCATTTGTTGTTATCTGTTTTATCTTAAGTTGATTTTTGGGTTTACCCAAGCAGCAGATGAATTAAAATCTCATTCAGTAAAGAAGCGGTTTTATTTAGCTGACATTCCTGACATTCAATAATCAAACTTGATAGGTCTTCCTTCTTTTAAAGTCAAATTAACTCTGCATGAGAGATGTGGATCCCCTGATGTTTTAGACAAAATTGAGAGATGTATCTTTTTGTATTGGGTTTAATTCTTTGCATTGAGTACAGAATGATTTATTTGATACCTCTTACAAACTGTATGGTTTCATTATCATGGAGCTTGTGCATCATTTATTAGTTTGTGGACTTTTAATGTCCTCTTCTTTTCTTGTTTTCAATGTGAATTCGCAGTCTAGATATTTTTTTGGGTTTTAATCAGTATGTGACATGATAGCCTTATATTTGTGCATACACTTTGTTTTACAGGAGATAATAGCTTAGCCGGCTTTTGCAGTTTTGTTTTAAAATCCAGTGGCATCTGATATTCTTCATTAATTGTTATACAGGCAAGAAAGACACCGTCAATGGAATCAGTCGATTCTTCTGGAGAGGAAGAGTAAGTTACTCATCATATGCATTTGTAATTTTGTACTTTGCTGTAGCAACATGCTTAATGCACATGAAATATATGGACATGCTACCTTTTGTTTAAAGCTTTACAACTTTTAAGTAGCTGTTAACAAAAATCTGATATGCGCTGTAAGTTCTATAGTACTTTCAGTAAGTTAAATAATTTGGTTTGTTGTTTTTTAGGCTTTCAATTCAGAGGCTTGAGATTGCGAAAAACGACTTGCAGCAGAGGATTGCGAAAGAGGTAGCTATACTTCTGCTTGACTTATTGTAATGTCAAATTATAGAAACTGGTACTTTTACTAACCGGATTAGACACTCATGTTATAGGCTAGAGGAAATGCAATTTTACAAGCTAGTTTGGAGAGAAGGAAGCAAGCTTTACATGAGCGGCGCTTGGCACTGGAACAAGATGTATGTTCATGAAAATACGCCGGACTAATTTTCTTCCTCCCTCCCTGTCTATTTTATATCTACTTAATGTCTGCATTAGAAGTTTATCATGCTACATTTTATATATCTGCTCGTTTGGTAGGTAAGCTTAAAACAAAAATCTATCTGCATGAGTCAACAATTTGGAATGAACAAGTTTATAATATTAGAATGACCTGACTAGATAATAGAAGGAATGGAACAAAAGACGTGTTGTATATTTTTGCCTGCATTCGGTGATGTTCTGGGGTTTAATCTTCAGTTTGACACCAGGAGGTTGGCTCCGATTTTCTTTTACATGAGTGCAAATGAAACACAATAACCCTTTTTGGACTTTCTAAACTGATGCATTTTTGTAGTGGTAATAATACCTCACAATTACACCTCTGGTCTGCAGTTTCCAAATGCAATTAGACAGGGCAAAAGTTCTGGTTCTGTCAGTTGCATAGGCAACTGGCTAATGTTCGTGTACAGCACTTTTTATTTTATTTTATTTACAAGAACACTTAATTATTAGTAATTTAATAAACTTGATCAAGTTACAGAATTAGACTTGATGTTAAAACCTTCTAACTGTTTTTTTATTTGGTGAAAAATCTGCTTAATGTTGATCAAAAGAAAATAAAACCTCCTTGCTATATTATTAGTTCTAGATTGTCTATCTGGGAGCTAGATCTTAGGTGTGTGCATGTATAGTATTTAAAGAAATTGATTGGTAGTACTTTGCTTCTTAAAAGTAATTTCCCTCTTTGCTTTTTGGCTGTGTATTAGATCTTCGATTAACTATCTGTAAATGATGATATAGGTTTCAAGATTGCAAGAGCAGCTACAAGCTGAGCGAGATCTTAGAGCGGCATTAGAGGTCGGTTTGAGCATGTCTTCTGGACAGTTGGCCAGTTCATGTGGCATGGATTCTAAGGTCTGTGTAGATTGTAAGGGATTTGTTTTATTTTAATTCTGTTTTATGTCATTTATCGAAGCCAGATTCTTATAATAAATTCTGGTGTGAAGACACGGGCTGAGCTTGAGGAGATAGCCCTTGCTGAAGCGGATGTGGCCAGGTTGAAGCAGAAAGTTGCAGAACTTCACCATCAACTTAATCAACAGCGACAGCATCATTATGGTTCTCTCTCTGATGCTTGTGACCGTTATCAAAATGGCCAAAATAATAATTCCCAACAGTGAGTGTGCAGAACCCATCTCTTTCTCAAAAGAATAAAAAATGCTGTTGTAAACCCAAGACTTGTAAACATCGGAAAGTAGATTGCTATATGTTTGAGGGTTTCATCAATGCAATTTACAGAGCTTTAGTACTAATAGGAATTTGTTTGGTTCAGGTCAATAATTTCTTTTGATTTTAAATTGTTTGCATTTTGCAGGAGGTTTCTGCAGCAAGATTTTGATGCAACCCTTGCCTTCTGTAATCATGAAAGGAAACAAAGGAATGAGGTGAGGTGTTATGTTTTTCTATCTTCGATACTTCATACTCCATATTAGGAAGCATTCATACTTTGGATATTTTTCAGTGATTTGTTAAATGTTGTTTTCTTGATGTTCCTCTTTTTTTTTTTTATTTATTTATTTTTATCCTTGCACTACCTATGTCTCTCAGTTGTATATTCATCCAATTCCAACATAGCTGATGCTTTCACGTTTACGCCAGATTTCGTCACATTTTTATTTCAACTTTATACTTAACAATCCAGTACTCCTTGACTATTTTGCTACAGGAGAGTTTGCTGGGGGCAGATTGGAGGACTATCAAAGGCCAAATTTTAGCATCTGCCAGCAGTACAAGGCAGCCTTCTAGGAAGCAATTCATGGATCCGGCTAGCAGAAGTGAATCAAAAAATACTGATGCATCAACAAGTTTGTCTGTTGATGAGCTTTCTGCTGTGGATTCTGCTTCCATGCCATCGACTTCAAGAGCACCAGAGGCAAGTGTTTCCTTTTTGCTGCGACTCTCATTTGTAACTTGTGGTTGAGCTTCTCTCTAAAATTAAAATTTTGCTATTTAGTTTCTTTGAAATCTTATCTTGTATTAACTCTGGAATGGTTCCCACCTCGTTCAAACAATTGTAACGTATTGATGTTGACTATGGTTCCAGGCGGTGGATTATCCAAGGCATCCATCAACAGCATCTTCTGCCTTGGTAGAACTACCAACTCGCCTTGATTTCTTCAAGGAAAGACGTTCCCAGCTGATGGAACAGCTTCATAATCTTGATTTAAATTATGGCACGGCATCTTTGCAAGACTCAGTTTATAGACCATCATCTCCACCATGGAATTGACTGGCGGAGAAGGTACCCATCAAATGAGTCGGAAGAAGAATGCTGGACACCGTGTTGTATATTCTTTGACAATGTTTGCATATAAATAGTCATGTGGTACTCTTGTTTGATTATCTTGTTTCATATTCAAAGTTGCTCTTTTTGTCTTTTCGTAGTGAGGGGATGTGAACGGAATTCGGGTGAGAAGTGTGTTCATTTTGTTGTGTATTGATGATTCCTTTTGTTGGTAACAAGGGCCCTGTAACTGTAAACAAATCTTCTGTTGTTGTGTCCATAGGTGAGGTGGGGTGATGCTATTGAATTATAATATTTTGCATTCAGCAAAACTTTTTGATGTCACCCTACATTTTTTCTTACCGCATACTTCAATTTTTGATATTCTTCAATTTATTCAATCCAATGGTTGAAAATTGAGGTGTGTAATAGCACCGTCCTTTTTTTATATTGAAGTGGGGGTGGGGTGTGTGATAGCACTGCCCTTTTTTTTTTATTTTATATATATATATATATTGAAGAGGGGGAATCAAGTCTAGGTTAATTCTTGTGATTGTTCATTCCTTGTATTCATTTGGGGACTTTATTTAACACTTGACTTTTAAACGGTAGTAATTTCATTATAATTGTACAACAAAGGTTACATCCTTTGCAAGAACAACCATAGAGGAATTGGATAACGTTTTGCAACATGGGCCCATGTCAAATAAGCAGCCCGTGTTAAGATATTGTGTTTCAAGAATAAGTAGCGGTAAAATAAAGCAATTGAGGATTTGTTAAATTTCAACATAAAAGTGTTAAAATTGTGTGTAAATACAAAAATAGACACGTTGGTAGCAGTGGAAGCGTTGACGGCGATGGTGATGGCAATGACAACGGCAAGGGTATGATGGTGGTGTCAATAGTGGATTGTGGTGGTTGGCAGTGTAGAGGTAGCAAACTAGTAATGGTGGTAGGGGTGGTGGCGACGACGGCAATGGTGATGGCAATGACAATGGTGATAGTATGATGGTATGATGGTGGTGCTAATATTGGGGTGTGGTGGTTGGCATTGTAGAGGTAATAATGGTGGTAGGGGTAGTAGCGATGATGTCAATGGTGATGGCAGCAACAATGGTGAGGGTATGACGGTGGTGCCAATAGCCAAGTGTGGTATTTGATAGTGAAGAGGTAGCAATGGTCGTAGGGGTGGTGGCGACTACAACAATGGTGAGAGTATGATGGTGGTGCCAATAGTGGGGTATGGTGGTTGATAGTGTAGAGGTAGCAATGGTGGTAGGGGTGGTGGTGATGACGACAATGGTACGCGTATGATGGTTGTGCCAATATGGTTATTGGTAGTGTAGAGGTAGCAATGGTGAAGAAGTGGCGGTGGTGATGGAAGTGACAAGGGTGAGGGTATGGTGATGGTGCGAATTGTGAAATGTGGTGGTTGACGATGTAGAGGTAGCGATGGTGATAGGGGTGATGTCAGCAGCGGTGGTGGCAGTTGTGTAGAAGGTGATAGTTATGGTAGTGGTGGTGATGACGGTGGTGGTGGTCATTTTGTTCTTCAATGGAGAAAATTTATGTAGAAATGCAAAATGACATTTTCTAAATGCCTCTTTTGTAATTTTATTGTATTTTCCTCCCCAAAGCTGTAAAATGACAAAAAAAAAAAAAAAAAAAAACCGTTGGGCTAAGTGGAATCCTAAGTGGACATTTGAGCTCACTTCATATTTTTTCTCCTTTTTTGCCATATTCTTGTTGTACTCATCGACATGAATGCGTTAGCGCGAATGAACTAGAATGAAGATTTTACAAAGCACAGAATGATAAGGGTAAATTTGTAATCTTATCCGCAGAACTATTTTGGAAAATATCAGTTTCTTATTTGGAAAAATATCCTATTGTCTTTTTGCGTGTGATGTATTTTCTTTGTGGGAAGGTATCTCACCGACACAATCCTTCCTTCACTCCTTCTCGGTTCTCTCTCTCCTCTACAACCCAGAGAACCACCGCCATCTCAGGCGGATCGACACCAAACGAAATGCAAATTCTCCATGTTAGGAACGATAATCTCATGCTTTTCACCAAATTTTTGTATATCATCAAACAAGTCTGCGAAGTCATCATCTCTCAAGAATTGTAGTCTTTGCTTGCGTACTTCCACTAACGCTATCGCATTCACAATATCTTGATCTTTTATTTATAATGATTGTGATAACTCATTTGTAATTCCAATATAAGTCTCATAAAAAAGGTGAAACACAAAATCAAAAGTTTGTATTTCTTGGAATAACTTACTTCACCAAAATTCTCTTGGTTGCCATCATCTTTAATCCATTTAAGCACATCCACCACGGTTTCAAACATAACAATAATACTAACAATAGTACCATAATGTGAGTTCCACTGTGTATCACAAGGACGCATGAGACTACTTTCTTGATTTAACCCTCTACCAGTTTCAAGATCACTAATATCAAGAGCTTTCTTAATTTGTTCTTGTTTCTGTTTAAATACATCACGACGTTTACACAATGATCCATAGTATTGACCAAACTACTAGCATTGTGAAGAAAATGGCAACACCTTCACTTCCCTTTGCAACGGTTACAAGAGATAGTTGAAGTTGATGTGTAAAACAAAGAACATAAAATGCTCAAGGATACTTGTTTCAAAATCTTTGTTTTAAGACCATTTAGCTCACCTCTCATATTACTAGCTCAATCATAGCCTTGTCCCTGTAACTTGGACATATTCAAATTTGTAGTAGCAAATAATTTCTCAATGACCTCTTCAAGAGAGTTACTAGTTCTATAGGAGACATGATGCACACCCAAAAACCTTTCAATTGCTTCTCATTTTTTGTTCACATAATGCAATACCACCACCATTTCCTTTTTAGTTGAAACAACATGAGATCCATCAACCAAAAGAGAAAAAAAAATACAACTGCCACATCTTTACTGATTGCATCAATAGTTTTCAACTACACAAGCATGGACAAGTTCTTTTTGAATATCCGAAGAAGTATACTTAAGATTTTTGAGAGCATTCTCAAATACAACTTTCCTAAATTTCTCATTATGATTGGCAAGAAATTGCATAAGCTCCAAATAATTACCACTATTGCTTGATTTCAACAATTCATTATGGCCATGAAAAGGAAAACCTTGTCCCGAGAACCATCTTGTGCACTCAAGTGAGGCACTCAATAAAGTGTGATAATTAATGTGAGCTTCATCGGTTTGCTTAATCACAAATGTTTCAATGTGTTGCTTCTGTGTCACAAATCTCTAGCTTGTTGTACAACTTTATTATGAAGACTTCCAGCACCTTCCTCATGGACTCGAAAATTTTCGGGTCTTTTCTTCCATTTTGTAAACCCTTTCTCAGTAAACACGTCACTTCCAGTACTACCCAATGTATCGAAATCACATTTGAAAGGATAGCAACAATGACAAAATGCAGCATCTTTTACTATAAAATGGAAAGAAAAAAAAAATCTTGGACTCTTAATCCTAGAGTAGACTATACTAATATGACTAGTAACAAAGCAAACCAACAAGTCAATTAATCAATACCAATAATCATACAAATTATTCAATAAACAAAAATTCAATTCAACTAATCATATGAATAATCATATACATTATTCAATAATTCAATTAATGAATCAATAATCAAGAATTCAATTTTTACCCTAAACAATAATTTCATTCATCAATAATCATTTCATATAAAAAATCAATAACCAATAACCCTATAATACTTCCATATGATTCTATACCAATTAAACAAAAATTCGTATTAAATAATTAATTAGGGTGAGAGATTATGAATTTAGAAATTAAAAAATTAACCTAAAAATTGGCTTAAAGGCTGGAAGCTAGAGTGGCTTGAAGGTTGGCGGCAACTGGAGTGGCTTGAAGTCAGCAAAGGGGCCAAATGAGGTTGAGGGTGTTGACTTCTGTGGTTGGGACATGGGGGGTAGCAGCGCAACTTGCTGCTCTCTGATTGGAAAATGGGAATTATGGAATGGGATTGAGAGAGGTAACAGGGGACAAGTGGTCCCACCTAAATTTATTTATTTTTTTTTTCAAACCAATCAACGAAACGTCGTCGTTTCAATTATGATTTTTCTAATTTTTTTACTAGGACCAAAATGACGTCGTTTTGGCCTGGATTAAGAAAAAAAAGGGGCTTTGCTGCGTAGCGCTAGAAACCAGATCACTAGAGCGGCTCGAGCGAGATTTCTCAATTCCAATAAGAGCAGAGGCTGAACTAGCGATCCTAGGTGTGTCTTTTGGCGAGGGGAGGGGTGGCAGCCACTCCTCGTCTTCACGTAGCTTTGCCACTGCATGCTTGGATAACCTCAGAGGAAGGGGTTTCAAAGTTTTGAAAATTGAGCCGAGTTTTCTCCAGCCAATTTCGAGTGTTTATGGCTTAATTGTGTAGCCGAAGCTTACTGGAAATTGGTGGAGATGAGGTATTTATAGGGAAGTGTCTAGCTTAGGTGTAGAGTTGTTCCCTACACGGGGTGACTTCCATAGGCCAAGGTGAGTCATCTGTAGGATGGATGAGAACAGAATAATCTATTAATTATGTAATATCTTGAGATGATGATGTCAGCATCCTTGATTGATTGTGATGAGGATTCCTTACTTGTTTGAATTGATCTTCAATTAGGAGAGTATTAAAGATGGGATTTGGCAATTATTAATGTCTTTGACTTTTCTTCCTTGCCACGAGCAGTGGAGCTTGGTGGTGTCATAGTCTGCTGCAATGTTTCCAGGGATGTTGGACTACGCATGTGAATATTTATAGGCCCTGCCCATTTATTGAGTGCATTCTTGTCTTATTCGAAAAAAAGTCGACATGTCATTTCTAGGATTTTTGGAAATATTTTTTGCTCCACATCCTGATCTAAGGGAAAAAGATTACATTAAGGTCAAGTGCGTATACTTCTGGATACTCCCCTTGAGTTTGACAAAACCTCCATATGAGAACTACAAGCATTGCAAATGAGATAATTTACGCATAACAATTCCTTAGACAAGCTTCTGGAAGGTTGACCTCGGAAGTGACTTCGTGAAGAGGTTAGCAAAGTTATCATGGGATCAGACTTGCTTGACTTCAATCTTCACTAAGGTCTATATCGTGGACCTACAAACGAGTTTGATAAGTAACCAGTGACACCATAACAAACAAGGCAAGCATCATTGTGAGGATCAGATGATTGAATCCGCTCGAGATGCGTAGTGATAAGCCCAAGTCCATTGTACCTTCAAAGTAACAAAAATACTTCTTTAATGCCAATTCAGTGGTTGTGTGTAGACGCATTGCTGTATCTTTACCAATAGATCAACAACGAAGGAGGTATCCTGCATAA